ACCCCAGAAGGGCACAGGGGCTATCCCAGGAGGCCACAAGTGCCACGAGGTCCCTGACACCTCCCCCGTCTCCTCCCCAGTGGCTGGAGGTGCTGGTGGCCATGGTGACCACTCTGGGCACGACCACCATGACCGGGCCACACAGGGATGTGCGGTGACACGTGTCCCCAAAGTCCCCGAACACGGCCCTGAGGAGATTCACCTGGAACCTCCATAAGGCCCTGAACCGCCACACTGTCACCTCCATGGGCAACTCCGGTGTCACCTCCCAGGGCCGGGCCCTGGCCACCCTCGGGGCCACCCCTGGGACCACCTGGGCCGATGTGAGAGCTGCGGCCAGCGCCTGGCGGGAGTGAGCGAAAGTGCTGGAGAACAGCTGGGACTGGCTGGCCAGGGAGGCCACCGAGCTCCGTGACACCTGCAGGGACACGGCCACCGCTGCGGCCGTCGCTGCAGCCGCCGTCGCGACCGTCGCCACCGCCCGTGCCTGGAACCCGCAGGACGAGGCCACCCGCTGGGGGACATCTCTGCACAGCCTGGTGGCCGCGGCCCGGCGGCCGTCGGTGGCCCTGGCCGAGGAGGAGGTGGCCTCGGCGGTGGCCGCGCTTGAGGCCTGGCTGGCGGCGGTCACCAGTGAGGAGGAAGCGGCCACCAAGGCCATGAGAGAGGCCATGGCGGCCGACAGCTGGGTGAGGGCGGCCACCAGGAGGGGACAGCGGGCAGAGGCGGCCCTGGGGCCACTGGAGCGCTTGGTGGCCGTGTGTGACAGAGCCACCGCGTTCCACCAGGAGCTGCGATGCCGGCTCGGGGACATCGAGGCCACCATGGAGGGGACAAATGAGGCGTCCCATGATGTCCCCGAGGCCTTAGTGGCCAAAGTGGCAAAGGCCGAGCAGCTGTGGGAGGCCAGCGCCTGCCTGGCCATGTGTCACCTGCTGAGGACACTTGGGGACATCCACAAACTCCTCTTGAGTCGCTATGGTGGCCACGGTGGCCGCGATGGCCTTGGTAGCCCACGTGGCTGAGCAGTGCCTAAAAGCCATCGAGGATATCCCGAGGCTGCTGCGGGGACAATGATGTCACCGCTGTGATGTCATTGGGGCAGTGACGTCACTGGGGACACTTGTGGACACTCAGGTGCCACCAGGCACTGGGATGACCCCATGCATTGACACCCCCCGCCCCACTGAGCACCAGGACTGGGACTGAGCCCCCCTCATGTACCGAACCCCCCAAGCACCGGGCCTGAACCCCCCTTTGTGTCCCCCCACCCATCACTGGGGTTCTGCCCCATCCTCTTTGACACCCTAGGAGCTGCGGGACCCCCCAGGAACAGCACCGGGACTTGGTGGGGGGTGCCCAGAAGCGGGATTGGGGAAGCCCCGAGCGCTGGGGAGGCACAGGGGGTGTACCCAGCACCGGGGAGGTCCCTTGGGGCTCGGCCCTGTCCCCCCCGACCCCCGTTATCAGCCGGGTGCCCCCATTATCACCAGGCACCCCTCCAATTTACCGGGCCCCCCCCGTCACTGGGGACACTTGTGGACACTCAGGTGCCACCGGGCACTGGGATGACCCCATGCATTGACACCCCCCGCCCCACTGAGCACCAGGACTGGGACTGAGCCCCCCTCATGTACCGAACCCCCCAAGCACCGGGCCTGAACCCCCCTTTGTGTCCCCCCACCCCTCACTGGGGTACTCACCATGCCCCCAGGCCCTCAGCAGCCCCCAGGCCCCCCCCATTGACTGACCTCCCCCCAACCCGAAATGCCCCCAGGCCCTCCCCCCTGGCTGGCTCCACCCCCCGGCGCCACCGCTGGGTGGAGCCTTTAAATGAATGCCCATCCATCAGTCTTGTAGCCACGCCCACAGGGAGGCAGGGCCATGCAGGCTGGCCAATGGGGAGTGGGGGAGCAGAGAGAGGGCAGGGATTGAAAAGGTTAACCACTGAGAGCGTGTGAAAATGGGCGGGGCCCAGGGAGTGGCAGCCAATTGGTAGGGGTGTGGGTGTGGCCTGGGGGTGGGGAAGGGGCAGGCAATGAATGGGGCCTGGAAAAGGGGCGGGGCCTGGACAGACAATGAATGGGGTGTGGAAATGGGGTGGGGTCTGGAGAGAAATGAAAGTGGGCAGAGTCTGGCGGGAAATGAATGAGGAAAATTCCAGATTATTTTCTCTCCTTTCTCAAACACTTCCATTGCTGTGTTCCCCCACACAATGATGTCACTGATGTACTGCAGGTGTTCTGGAGCTTCACCCTTTTCCAGGGCAGCCTGGATCAGTCCAGGGCAGATGGTGGGGCTGTGCTTCCACCCCTGGGGCAGTCGGTTCCAGGTGTACTGCACACCCCTCCAGGTGCAAGTAAACTGAGGCCTGCATTCTGCTGCCAGAGGAATGGAGAAAAACCTGTTGGCAATGTCAATAGTGGCATACCACTTTGCTGCCGTGGCTCCAGCTCATACTGGAGTTCCAGCACGTCCTGGCACAGCAGCGCTCAGCGGTGGAGTCACTTAATTCAATGCACAATAATCCACAGTCAATCTCCATTCTCTGTCAGACTTGTGCACAGCTGTTGAAGGGTGAGTGGGTCTTGCTGACCACCCCTTGTCTCTCCAGCTCATGGATCATTTTGTGGATGGGGATCATGACATCTTGGTTCGTCCAATATTGCTAGCGGTGCACTGTCAAGGTGGCCATTGACACTCGTTGCTCTTCCACCTCCAGGAGCCCTACTGCAGATGGGTTTTCTGATAGTCCAGGCAAGGTGTTCAACTGCTTAATGTCCTCTGTCTTTACAGCAGCTATTCCAAATGCCCTTCTGAGTCCCTTTGGGTCTCTGTAAAGCCATTCCGGAGGAAGTCTGTGCCCAGAATACACAGAACCTCTGGGCCAGTCACAACAGGATGTTTCTGCCACTCCTTCCCAGTCAGGCTCCCCTCGGCTCCCAACAGGGTCAATTGCTGTGATCCCCCCGTCACCCCAGCAATGGAAACAGGTTCTGCCCCACATGGTGTCCTGATGGTATCAGGGTACACTGCACACCAGTATCAACTGAGGCATCGTATTTTTGTGGCTCTGATGTGCCAGGCCTTCGCATCCACACCATCCAAAAGATATGGTTTTCCTGTGCCTCTCCCTGGCTAGAGGCAGGGCCCCTCCAGCCCTGGTTATTATTTCTTTCCTGGGCATGCATGCTAGAGGTTCCTTCAGGGGGATCTGACAGATCATACCTGGCAGCTCGGCCATGGGAGGTTGAGGCTACCTTCACCTTACTGGAATTCCCTTGGTTAGTGTTTCCCTCCCTGAGCTGATGCAGCCGTGCTGCCAGGACAGAAGTGTGTTTCCCATCCCACCTTCCCATGTCTTCCCCATGGTCATGCAGGGAGAACCACAGGTCAGTTCTTGGGGTGCACCCTCTGTGTCCAGCTGGGGGACGCTGGGCTCTGACTTTGGGGCCTGTGACCTGCACTGGTGTCACATGGGAATTGTTCCTCCTCATCTCCTCCCTCATTTCCTCTTTGAAGTCCTTAATCACAGCAGAGACATGAGCCTGCATTGGGCCATTGATCACATTCTCATAATTTCTAAGCTTGTTGGGACAGAGCCCACTGTCTCTCAGTTGGTGTCAGCATTGATCGTTGCAGTGAAGGTGATGTATTGAGATGGCCCCGGATTTGCCAGACTCCACAACATGTGCCCTGTGCACCTGACCTTGTTGGGGTCATTATCATGCTGTCCATCCCTCCCAAAGCTTGTCACCGTTCTGATTGCAGAAGCACCACCTCTCACTGCTTTGCCCGGGTTGCCAGGCAACACAATTGACAGCAGCAGCGACCACCGATATCCGAGAGCCTGTCTTCGTGTTGCCAGGCAATGCAATTGCCAGCAGCGGTGAGCGACAACAGCCTGTCTCAGAGAGGGAGCGTGCCTCCGCCACTGTCTGCCTGCCTGAGGACACCCTGGCGGCTGCAAAGGGAGATTCCCGGCCAGCACTGCTGAGGGATTCTCCGTCCCCCCCACTCCGGGAGGGCGCAGACCCTCTGAGAGGGTCCCAGCGAGAGGCGGCCGGCAGCCCTGCGCTGGACAGCCCGCCCGGTCCCTCTGCATGGCAGCCAGCAATTGAATTCGTGACAACGGTGCCAGTGGGGGCCAACCCCGCTGGCTGTGCCGCCTTTGGGGACCCTGTCCTCCACGTCAGCATCTGTGTCGGGCCCTGCAAACAGCCTGTCCTGCCGCGGAAGCAGCCCAGCTCGTTTGCTTACAGCCGGTGCTGCAGGAGTGAACGCTCACACTCAGCGTTTTTCTGGGACACAGCATTTTTCGTGGGCCGATTCACATTTGGTCAGGGGCTTCTTGGTGGGGTTTGGAATGCCTGACTCCCCCCACGTGCTCCAGAGGTGTCGGGGGGGTGGCTCCCAGAGGTTTTGCCTCCATTCCCGAGCCCAGAGGGGGTGGGAGTGGTGCCAAGGGGCAGAAAGCAGGAACGCTGCCATTTGCATTGCAGGGGTGGGGGGCATAGTGGAAAGCGAGCATTGCTTGCTTGCTCTGGGGAATTAAAACCCCGGGTCCGGGATGATGATCCCCGGGAAAGTTTCTCCTCCCCGACTGCTGCTATGTGCCAGTGGTTCTGGGGGGAGGAGGCTTTCAGTCACTCCTGCTGCCAGGGCACAGGCGGCATGGTGCGGGGAGGTTGTGAGAACAAAGAGCCTGCCCCGTGTTCCCAGTTGTGTTCCAGTGTCCCCAGTTCCATTCCAGTGTCACCAACCCAGTGCCACCAGTTCAATCCCAGTGCCACCAGCCCAGTGTCCACAGTGTCTCCATCCTACCCAGGGTTTCCAAGGGGAAATATCTCTGTGACAGCACCTTGAATCAGCTCCCTGGCTGTGCTCCCCTCAAGGAACATTGGGATGGCTTTATTGACCACTCATCTCTAAATGGGGTCGGGTAACGTGTCTGACACAGAGCTCAGATCAGCCTGCTCTGATTTATATAGAGGGTATTTATTTATTTATTTACTTATTGGCTGTACGGTGCACACATAAACTGATAGATTATATTGCACCAACGAGCAGCTACAAGGAATCATCAATAATCAATATCAGTATCAAATACCGTATCAGATTGCTGGTGATTAGTAACAAAGTGCAAACGGCAATACAAAAGTGCAAAAGGCAATACAAAAGTGCAAAAGCCAGTTATTAACTTGTCATTTGTAACCCATCTCTGCTGCAGACACAGTGGAAAGCTGGAAGCTCTTGAGGGGACTCATTTAGCCCTGTCCCCTGTCCCCTGAGTGTCCCTGTCTGTCCCTGAGTGTCCCCAGTGACATTACCCCAAAAATTCCCATCAGGATTTGGGGCAATTTCAATGAAAATTCCTAGAAAATTCCCCAAATTTGTCTCAAATCCCACAAGGGGAGGGGGGAAAGGACAGGTGATGCCAGCCATGTCCCCGATGACGTCACTGCCCTGATGACATCACATTGGTGACATCGCCATCCCTGCAGCAGACTTGGGATGTCCTTGGTGGCTCTTTGGCATCACTTAACCACCACTCAGGCAATGGAGCCACTGGGATCACCACACCTGAAGATGGTGCAGATGTTCTCAAGTGCCCCCACCAGGTAATCCCTGGCCACTTGGCTGCTGGCCACCCACAGCAGCTCGGCCACAGCCACCTTGGCTGCCAAGGCAGCGTGGAAATCATGGGACGGCTCCTCTGCCCCCTTCATGGTGCCTACGATCTCCCCAACCCTGCGCCGCAGCTCCCGATAGAACGCGGTGATTTCCCTACACGCGGTCACCAGGCACCTCAGCAGCCCCAGGGCCACCTTCGCCTGCTGCCTCACCGGGTCTTCGGCCACCACGGTTCCTCCCACACCCTCTCCTACCTCATAGTCTATGACACCTCCCAAGGCCTCTCTTATGGCCCCCACCATGGCCTCTTTTATGGCCTTTTTCAAGACTTCTTCCATGGCCACAACACTGCAGCTGCTGAGGGCCACGTGCCTGCAGGCGTCCCAGAGCTTGGTGACCTCCCTGGTCAGCTGGGCCCAGCTGTCGTCCAGCGTGGCCGCTGACTCCTGCCACGTGCTGGCCACGCTTCGCACGTGCTCCCAGGTGGTCCATGAGGTGCTCGCGTAGGCTGCCAGGGCCTGGCTCAGGGAGGGGACAGCGCTATCGCACCCAGAGGTGACATCGCGGTGCCAGAAGATGTTACCAGTGTCATGCACGGTGACACTGAGGTTATTGGTGAACTTCTTCAGGGCCTCGCGCAGGGATGGTTGGCACATGGGCAGCAGCACATCCCCATCCTTCCTGGCCGTGATGGCCACCAGCTCGCCCAGGGTGGCCACCATGGTGGCCTGTGGCTGCAGCAGACCTGGGGACATCTGCAGAGGAGACAGAGGAGGTGTCAGGGACCTCGTGGCGCTTGTAGCCTCCTGGGGGGGGGCCCTGCCCCCGAGGGGCCCCCTTTATCACCTCCATCCCCCTTGTTTCCTCTGCCACCCCCTGTCCCTCCCCTCGTAGCTCCTTCCACCCCCTGCCCCACTGCTGTCCTCTCTGCCACCCCCTGCCCCCACTGCTGTCCTCTCTGCCACCCCCTACTCTCGGGATCTCCTCTGGTCTGGTCAGTGTGACTGGGAAGATCCCGAGGAGTGTCTCTGTTAAAAGTCTCTTTTCCCCAACCCAGCAGCCGAAGAAGGAGTCGACATGGAACCCCTGACCCCCATGTACAGAATTCCAAACCCCCCTGTACAAGGTCCAAAACCCCCCTGTACAGTGCTCCAAAATTTTTCCCTTCACCCTGTGATTGCTACTACTGAGCTACTTAAACTTTTGTGACCTGTAATTCTTCATATAAAGCTGGTAATTTGCTCCATGAGTTGAGATCAAATTTCCAGGTGTCTTTGGCTTCTTGCCAGGGTCTCCAAGCCCCTGCCAGGGCTTTGAGCCATCCAGGGCATCCAGAGAGATGTCCTGGGTTCCGACACCCTACCACCACACTTGTAGCCCCTGCCACCCCCCGCTGTGTCCTCTGCCACTCCCTGTGTCCCCTTCCATTGCCCACTGACCCCTCCCCCCCGTGTCCCCTCCCCTATAGGTGTCCCTCTCACCTGAGACGCCCTCCCCCTGTACTTTGGTGGTCCCTGTGTTCCCTCCCCTCACCCTCTCCCCAGGTAAAGGGGCAACACCACGCAGTCGACACCACGCAGTCGGAGCTCTGTTGGAGCTGTGGCAGGATTCAGAGGCCATGCAGCCCAGAATAAGAACTCTGGATTAAAACCTCTCCATCAGGACCCACTCCTTCCTTCACCTCGCCTCAAAGGTTTCTCCAGCTCAGGAAGGCCTGAGGAGTGACCCCACCTCAACAGCAAGTTCCAGCCCTCAAGCAATGGAGCTCGGGACGTGCCTGGACTTGTCCCCACGTGCTCATAGCTAGCCAGAGCATCTCTGGGGTGCACAACACCACAGGTGCCGCCATTGGCTCCGCAGCTGAGGCCACACAGACCAAGGCAGTCCCGTTCAGTAATACTGGTAAATTCCAATACCCTTTGCAACGCACTGCCCCTCCCCCACCAGTGTCCCCTGTCTCCCTCTCCACACACCCCCAACCCCCCCCATCGCACCTCTTGGAGCTCCATGCTCACTGGGGACACCTTGGGGACACCTTGGGGACGGTCTGGGGGTCGAAGGAGCCTTGGGATGTCCTCGATGGCTCTTTGGCACCGCTCGGCCACCTCGCAGGGGCTGGTGCGACCACCGTTGAACAAGAAGTCGATGATGCCTTGAAGTGTCCCCAGCAGGTGATCCTTGGCCAGGCGGCCGTTGGCCTCCCACAGCCGCTCGGCCACAGCCACCTTGGTCACCAAATCCTCAGGGACATTGGGGGACTCCTCATTTGTCCCCTCCAGGGCGGCCTTGATGTCCCCAACCCTGCGCTGCAGCTCCTGGAGGAACGTGGTGGCTTCGTCACACGCATCCACCAAGCGCTCCAGCAGCCCCAGGGCCGTCTCCACCCGCTGTCTCACCATGGTGGCCCTGGTTGCCCGGCTGGCAGCCACCATGACATCTATCCACATCCAGGCTTCATGTTCGGCCACCACCTCGGCTCTCTTCTCCCTGCCAAGGGCCTGACCCAGCTCCACCATGTTTTCCTGAGCTGTCCCATCACGGGCAGCCTCGTCCTGCAGCTCCCTGGCCCGGGCGCTGGCGGTGGCTGCCCTGCCGGGCGGCTCAGTGACCACCTCCCTGCAGACGTTGCAGAGCTTGGTGGCCTTCCTGGCCAGCTGAGCCCAGCTGTCCACGCGCTTATCCACTGTCCCCTGCCAGTGCCAGGCCTCCATTGTCACATGGAACCAGGGGGTCCAGGGGGTGCTCCTGTAGGCGGCCAGGGCCTGGCTCAGGGAGGCGGGAGGTTCTTTGTTATCGGAGGTTACATTGCGGCGCCACCAGGTGTCATCCATGCACTTCACGGTGGCCCAGAGCTTCGTGGTGAAGTCCTCCAGGTCCCAGTACAGGCACCTTAGAGACTTGAGCAGCGTCTCCTCGTTCCGCCTGGGCACGGTGGCCAGCAGCTCGCCCAGGGTGGCCACCACCGTGACCTGTGGCTGCAGAAGGGCCGGGGACAGCTGCGGAGGGGACACGGGAGGTGTCAGGGACCTGGCGGCACTTACGGCCTCCTTCGGTGGCCCCCTGCCCCCGAGGAGTCCCCTTTGTCCCCTCCGTCCCTTTGTCAGCCTCTTGTTCCCTGTGCCACCCCCTGCCCCTCCCCTCAGAGCCCCACTCGCTCCCTGCCCCTCTGCTGTCCCCTCTGCCACCCCCTCTCCCACTGCTGTCCCATCTGCCGCCCCCCGCTAGCCCCCGTGTCCCCTCCCGTCCCGTCGCACCTCTTCGAGCTCCATGTTCACTCTGGACACCTTGGGGACGCTCCGGCGGCGAAGGATCCCCGGGCCAAACGCCGGTCCCGGCCCAGAACCGGCTCGACCGGCGGCGCGGAAAGGGCAGCGCCGCCTCAGTACGCGCGGGAAAGGGGCGTGGCGGTGACGTCACCTCTCCTGGCCCCGCCCCTCGCCGGTACAGCCCCCATCCATGGGAAACAGCGGGCTGGATTTTGGTGCTTTTTAGGCTGAATACCAGCGGCTTTAGGATCAATCCCTGGGGATTTAGGCTCAGTCCTAGTGGATTTAGGTTCTATCCCGCCATTTCCAGGTGGATTAATTCCGCCGTTCCCGGCTGGATTTAGGAGGCAACGCGGAGTGCTCTGAGCAGCGGGCGGAATTGCCCCCAGCCAAGATGGCAGCACAGCTGCTCTGGCGTGAAGCGGCTGGCACAAGTACTGGCGAAAGATCCCCCCCTCGCCGGTGGCCGGTTCCAGCGGAAACGCGGTCCATTGTGGTCCCGGTGGGGCCCAGCGGTGGCGGAGCCGGGGCCGAGGCCGGGGGCGGGGGCAGCGGGGCGGGAATTCGGGGGCGCCGAGGGAGCCCCGGGACCCCCCCGCCAGCGCGGGATGGGCGGCAGCGACCGCGGTCAGCACCGGGAGCGGCGGGAGCCGGATGGGTGCGGTGAGGAGGGGCTTCGGGAGGGTCCCGAGGGAGAACTGGGGGGTCCTGAGGGGATTTGGGGGAATTGTGAGGGTGTTTAGGGGCGCTGAGGGGATGTGAGGGGGTTTAGGGGGATCTGAGGGAGAATTGGGGGTCCTGAGGGCGTTTGGAGTGGCCTGAGAGGGAACTGAGGGGGGGTTGACGGGTCCTGAGGGAATGTGAGGGGTCGTGAGGGAGTTGGGGGACTCCTGAGGGAGAACCGGGGGTCCTGAGGGGGTTTGGGAGGATTGTGAGGGGATATGAAGGAGTTTGGGGGATCCTGAGAGAGTGTGGAGGGTCCTGAGGGGCCTTGGGGGATCCTGAGGGAGAACTGGGGGATCGCGAAGGGGCTTAGAGTGGATTTTTGGGGGGTTCTGAGGGAGAATTGAGGATCCTGAGGGGGTTTGGGGGCGTCCTGAGGGGGTTCTGGAGGAGTCTTGAGGGGATCTGGGAGGGTCTTAAGGCAGTTTGGGGGGGATTTTGGGGGGTTGTGAGGCTGTTGAGGGGTCCTGAGCGGATTTGGGGGCATCATGAGGAAATCTGGGGGGATTCTGAGGAGATTTTGGGGGGGGGATTGGGAGGCCCTGAGGGAGACCTGGGGGTACTGAGGGGGTTTGGAGGGTCGTGGGGGGATTTGGGGGCGTTCTGAGGAAGTTTTTGGTGGGGATTTTGGGGCCTCCTGAGGGTTTTTGGGAGTCCTGAGGGGATTCAGGAGGATTTTGACAGTTCGTGCCTGGATTGGGGCAACCCTGAGGGAATTTTGGGGGTCCCTGAGTGGATTTTGTGGGTCCCTGACTGGATCTGGGGGAATTTGGGGTCATTTTGGGGTGCATGAATGAATTTTGGGGCATTTGGGCGATTTTTGGGTTCCCTGACAGGATTTTGGGGTATTTCAATGTAATTTTGGTATTCCTGATGAGATTTTGGGATATTTTCATGTAATTTTGGGGTATTTTGGTTCAATTTCAGGTTCCGTTATGGTATTTTGGGGTATTTTTGTGTATTTTGAGTAATTTTTGAGTCCCTGATGGGATTTTGGGGTATTTTGGTGCAATTTTGGGGTGATTTTGAGTAATTTCGGGGCATCTTATGTTATTTGGATGTAATTTTGGGGTATTTTGGTGTTTCTTGGTTTGAACAGACAGGTGTGTGCTGAGGAAGGCAGGAGCCTCCCCCAAAATGGAAAATGTAAACACCCTCCCTCTGAATTGTTACAAATTGTAAATTAAGAGGCTCTCGGGCAAAGATATGAGAGCAGGGGTAGCAGTTCTTTATTTGGAAAATAAAATAATTAATGAAAATAGATATAGAAATAAAAAATAAGAATAAAATAACAAGAAGGATAAAAATAGATTCAGAAATAAAAATAAGATAAAAATAAAATGAAGAATAAAAATAAAATCAGAACTAAAAATAAAAATAAAACAAAGTAATATATAATAAAAAGATAGAAATAATAAAAAATAAGATAAAAATAAAATCAAAAATAAAATCAATAATAAAAATTTAAAAAATTAAAAATATATAAATGAAAAATATAAAACATATTAAAAATAAGATAAAAATAAGAAAAAGAGCACAAATAAAGTCAAAAATAAAACTAAGAAAAATTAAAATAAAGTAAAAAAACATCATTAGAAGAAAGCTGCTCCTGTGGGAATGCAGTTGGCAAAGGCTGCTGCAGGGTGTCAGGTTGTATTCTGTCAGTGGTTTCATTTTGTGTTATTGCGTGTTTGTTGTTTTTTTTCCCCCTTTTCCTAATTGTATTTCTGACTTGGAGTCTCTCACTGGTTCTGCTTTCAAACCGGAACAATTGGTGATGGTTGTTTGGCTTGACTGACCAGCTGGATCCACGTGTGTGTTGTGACTGTCAGGCAAGGGCGATGGGTTTTTCTTAGTAGCACAGTATGGTATAACAAAGCGATTGATCAGCCAGCTGCAATCCTGGAGTCAACGCTCATTATTCCCCACTGGGGACCGCTGCTACGATAGCGACTGATGATTTTCCTTTCAGCACTGGACAGTCTTTTTTCCAATGCCCCCATTTCTTACAGGATGCACTCTGGTCCTTCTCCGTAGGGGAAGCTTTCTTGGGTGACTTTTCCTGAGCTGCCTTCCTGCTAGGTTGGGATTAACTCTTTCAGTTGGGCCCCTCTCTCAAAACACCTTCCAGGCAACATCCAGGAGTTTATCTATGTCTTAAACTCCCTTTATCTTTTCTACTTATATCATTTGAAGCCTGACCCACACAAACAAAACTAGATGTGCTTTACCATCAGCTGATTCAGGATCTACATCAGTATATTTGATGGCAGTTTCTCTTCACCTGTTTAAAAAATCAGTGCTTGATTCATCATAATTTTGCCTCCCTTGGTAAAGCTTTGACCAATTTACAGCTTTAGGGACCCAATGTTTTAACCCACACACCACGAGGCTTTGATATCATTTTAATTTTGCCATCTGCTCG